AAGTAATTGAATGCATTCGAAATTATCCTTATAAACTGCGATGCAAAGTGGGGTTTCATTTCTCTTAGTGCAAGAATTGATATTGGCATTTTTTGTTAATAAAATTTGAGTAATTTCTACGAAATTATATTTCACTGATACATGAAGGGGTGACAATTTCTTTCTGCCTCCAATTGCATTCACATTAGCACCACGTGCCAAAAGTTCTTTAACAATAGTTAAGCGTCCTTTTCCACAGGCATGATGTAGCAATGTAAATCCGTCAATTAAACAGGTATTTACATTACAATCATTTGGTAAGAAATTGTAAAAAATATCAGTAAATCCGTATTTAATGGCACCTATTAATACATGATATTCTAGAAATTCTTGCCTCATTTTTTCATCACAGGATGTTTCTTTCTTATTTAAAAGACTTTGCACAATGTTTCTATGTTCTATCATCGTTGAATGATCTAGAGAGACTAATGTGAATTCCTCTGGTATTGACAGATTTTTTATGTCTTTGATATTAATCCTGAAACCCTGATTATAAAATAATTCACTGATTAACTGGTATACACATTTATCTCTACGGTCTGTGCAAATTTCTAGGTCAGGTATTGTTTCATAATAGGTACCCAGAAAGGAAAGGCAAAAAGCCATTTTTAGAGTCATATCGCAAGTATCTGGATTTTTACCCAGAAGAATTCTAGCTTGACTTAAAGATATATTTGCAACGGAGTGACTCAAAGGAATCAAGCCATCATCATTTATAGCTGTTAAATCAGCACCGTTATTTATGAGCATCTTTAGAAATTCGCCACCGTTTTTAACCGATACAATGTTGGCTGCCAAATGCAATGGAGTGTCATCTAAAACAGTAGTAGCGTTTACATCTGCACCTGCTCGTAAAAGAAGAAGCGAAATTTTTTTATGACGAATTTGGCTAGCAAGATGTAGAGGTGTTTCATCAAACTCTGTCTCAGCATTCACGTCACATCCGATAGATAGTAGAAATTCCACAAGTTCATAACTCTCACTGTTCACCGCTCTGTGTAACGCTGTATAACCACAACAATCTTTTTCCTCCATATCCCCATCACTATCAAGAAGCATTTTTATTTCATGCCGTGATAAAATACGCTTAATACTTGCATTAACACATACATCATGAGGTGAATTATAATTCTCATTATAAATTTTTATATCAGCTCCATTTTCAAGTAAAAGTTGAATAACACTTTCAGAAAGATTATATTCTTCTGAGACAGCAATATGTAGAGGTGTATTTAACTCTTTATTGGTTGCATTAACAACAGCCCCTTTTTCCAGTAAAATTTTTATGATTTCCACATTTCCATTTTGTACCGCGAAATGAAGTGGCGTCTGATCGTGATCTTCAGTTTCGTCATTTACTTTCACAGGATGCTGCAAAAGGAGTTTTGAGATTTCGAGAAAATTGTCTAGAAGTAGTTGGTATGGTCCGTATAATAATTGTAATTCACTTTGACGTTCTAGTGAATAAATAGAATTTTGAAGCATACTACAAAGTAGTGAATAACCAGAAGATGATGCGAGGTAATCATTAAAATTGTTGTCAGAAAGAATATTTCTTACTGCCCACTCATGACCAGAGAAGCATGCATTTTGTAAAGACTGAATTTCTATCGACGACATTGTCACTTTATTCCTTGAGACTTATGTTGAATTATTCAATTGGATCAAACTTGTTGACATCGAAATTGAGAAAATCTGTAAACAAAGAGTTTGTTAATTTTACTGGAAAATTATTCAATAAAAATTATTACTTAATTGAAAATGTCAAAAACCAGATTTAAATACAGGGGAAGTATGCCGGTTGTGGGCACCCTTAGGTTTTGGCCTCATTACATTAAAAGTGAATGAAATTGAAAAGTGATTATCTTAACCCCTTGACTGTGGATGACGTGTATACACGTCATGAAAAAAACTGGCCCAAACAGTGGATGACGTGTATACACGTCATGGCCCAAACAAGAAAACATCTTAACGTATATTCGCAAAAATTCTTACTCGGTGGTTTTTGGGGTCGCTGATCACGATTCTGAAGTCAGATTTTCAAAATAAATAATTTTTCATCCAAAATGGCCGCCAAAAATTTTGAAAATTTTCGAAAGTGGATAGATTCTTTTAAAAATTCTTACCATTTAAACTTTGAAAAACTAATAACAGATTCGTAATCAGCGACCCCAAAAACCCCCGAATAACGAATTTTAAGCGTATCCAATGAATTTTTCAAAATCGTGACCGCTATTTTGGATCCGCCATTTTGAATTTTAAAAAACTAATGTCAAATTCGTTATCAGCGACCACGAAAACCCCCGAGTAACGAATTTTAAGCGAATCAAATGAATTTCTCAAAATCGTGTTCGCCATTTTGGATCCGCTATTTTGAATTTTAAAAAACTAACATTGGAATCGTAATTAGCAACCCCAAAAACCCCTTAGTATCTAGTATCATGAAAATTTATTCACAAGAAGGTCTTACACATTTTGGGACCATTTTGTTATATTTTAGCTTCACACTGAAGGGGTTAAGAAAGAATTTAAGAAACAAAAAATTTTATATATGATTATTATTTTTTAAAATAAAAAAACAAAGGAGATGAGGCACATGAAAGGCTCTAAAGTTTTTTATTTGTCCAAATTATAATATTTGATAGGAAATCAAGTTTATCGAGTTTCAATTTGTCAGAAATCTATAATTTGACCGAATATCAATTTATGGGAGTCGTTTTTTAGTATTTTGAATTGGTCATAAATTTCCTCAACGGATTTTAATTTCTTATAGTTTTAATTGTATGTTGAGATTTTTTTCCAATTTTTAAAAGGCGCAGAACAATAAAAAAATTAATTGTTTATAAACAATTTGTTAAATTATTATTAAAACATAAACTTTTTACAAATTTTCTAATTCTAAACGAAAGAACATTTTATCCCCTTTATATTGTTGCTTGGTTCATTTGAATCGGTTCGTTCACTTAAGAGAAATAAAATTTTGTTTAAAAAGTTGCAAAAATAATTCATTCAGCAATAACTTTTATAAAAAAAATTTTTTTCTGTCCTTTGGTAGACTTATTCCTAAGGACAAATATAAATGTTTTTCAAACATTTCGACCAAGAAACAATAGGGGAGATTGGGGAATTGTGGGCCACCTCAATTATTTAATAATATTTATAAGTTTGATCATCCAATTTTTTATTTTCTTTTGTTCACCCAAAGTAAATTTTTCATTAGCATTTCATTACTTTACAACACTTTATAATTATCTATAAGGGAACGTTCATAAACTACGTAGCAATTCAAGGGGGAGGGGGGGGTCAAGCAATTGTCTACCATAAGAGGAAAAAATGGCGCTAATACATGTAATTCCATCTACGTGGGGGGAGGGGGGGGTGTTAAAATTTCCAAAAAATTGGTCTACGTAGTTTATGAACGTTCCTAAACAGTAAACAAAAATCACCAGAAAAATTGCATTCAAATATTTATTTTGGACCTTCATGTTTTTATTGTTTTTACAAGGATTTTCAAGATGAATGAAACATTTGGGGAATTGTGGGCCACTTTTTTTAGGGGTAGTATTTATTGCTTGTTTTTGGCGATTTAATTGCAAATATTATTAAAATCACTCATAGTTATAGTAATTTAACAAAAACAATTCGTTTCATTGCGATTCATGCGATAAAGCTGTTTACTTAAAAATATGTAATTTATTAATTGTGATTCCGATTAATTTCATCATCTTACTTTTTCTTTTCGAATTTTAAACTAATAATTAAACATTCTAACCATGTAATATTGTATTTATATGTAATAAATATATTTTATATGTAATAAATATATTTCATCGTTATTTTTTATTTTGAACGCAATTTAGGCAGTGGCCCACAATTCCCCAATCTCCCCTACTTTTTATTTTTCGTGAAAATTTCATGAAATCTAACCCTATGTAAAAATTGAAATCATTTTAAAATTTTAACCCAAGAGAGTATAAGGCATTTACGTAAAACAGTCTTGAAAATAATCTGAGTTTATAAAAATTATAATATATAATGTTGAAATAAACAAAAATGAATGTAGAGGTTAAAAAAGGTAATGGCTTTTCGATTATATACTTATACCTAATTTATGAAAGGCGTGTTACAGTGATAGACAGTAATAAAAATGTTCATGATTCTCATGAATTTCTTAATGATTCTTGTTCTTTTCTCATACCTTTAAATTTGAAAATGTATAAAATACTGCCAAAAAAACAAGAAATTCTGATTGTTTTTCTGAAGCGTTGTTATTATTTTTAAAAATAATGACCCAACAAAATTTTGTTGGGTATTCTTATTTTTCTTTTTGGGCTTCAGCTTAATCGTAGAATCGTAAATTTTTAGAATGAGCAAGAGAAGGACATAGATCAGTGAACATAACCTAAAAATTAAAAACTATCCTTCTCTTGCTTGTTCTTAAATGCAAGCATATTATTTTTATAAATATATTAACAAGAATATTACTTAATCATCCAAAAAGAAAAATTAACTCAAGTTTCAAAAAAATATTAACATTTTTCCCACTAATTTTTTAAATACAAGGAAAAGACAATTTTAAATACATTTTCCAAAAAAAAATGTACGCTCAAGTTTTAAAAAAATAATGAAATTTTTCTCACTAACTTTTTAAATCCAAGGAAAAGACGATTTTAAAAACATTAAATACATTTCCATTTAAACCGCACCAACTCTTTTATTTTATTTTTTTTAGTTTAAACAGTTGATAATTTTGAAATGACAACAAACAGCCAAAACAGGTATAGTGTTTGTGTTTATGTTTACTATACTATACCTTGAACTTTTAAGTCTATATCACACCTCGTTATGAGAATGCAAGGTCCACATGTGAATAAAGCCTAAATCGCAAGCATGGAAACCAGGGATGAGAAACTCTAACAAAGTCGAGTTTACGTATGTTACCCAAAAATACGTAACAAATTGTCGCAAACGTGTGTTTTGGCGGTTTTGGCTATCTGCATTGCAAAAATCAACAAAGAAAAAATCGTCGCAATCGTTAGATTACAGTAAGGTAATAATCATGTATGATTAGTACTTTTTTATTGAAATATTAATGTTTAAAGTCAGTGACATAGGAATAAGCGTGTAAGAAAGTAGAATTTTGTGAGTGAAAGAATAGCACAAATCTTTTCACCCAAATTTTGAGGTTATGTTGGTAATTTTTGAAAGTAATAGTGCGGAAGAAGGAACAATTTTTAATACAAAAAATTGATATTTAAGTTTATATTACGTCCAAAATATTTAATAAAAACTTATTTCGATTTTACATAACAAATAAGGAACTTTTAATGAAGATAAAAATATAATTTTACAGGCGGTAATTGAAGGGCTACATAAAATAAGGGGATGAACGCGAGGCTTGGAAGGGATACTACCAGTCGGGTAGCAGTGACAGGCCTTGAGCCGCTCGCTGCTACCTGACTGATATTATCCCTTTCAACCATGCGTTCGTCCCCTTATTTTATGTAGCCCTTCAATTGTGCAACACGGTAAGAAGCGAGGATCAGCAAAAGTAATTTTAGTGCTAAAAATAAAAATTTATATTACAATTTTACTTTCGATTTAAAAATTCCATTAATCTTATTATGTATAAAGTAAATTTCAGTAAAACATTAGTAAACTCTAATGTTAAAAATTTTTATTTCCGGAATACTTTTTACTATTTTAAAAGATAATTTTTTTTTATAAAAATTGGAAAAATTTATTTCAAAAATTGGAAAATTTGCTCTTAATAAATAGAAATATTTAACAGCTAATTGTAATGTTCAAGGAAAATTTAAATAATTTTTATATTTAAAAAATTGACTTTGAAAAGAATAAATTTTGCTATTAAAAATGGTTATTTCCGCAGAGTAAATTGAAAATTAGTAAACTATTCTTAAAATTAAGTAAAATTTATTTTGGAAGTAAAACAATGTCAAAAACTCCAAACTATATTGATTTTTCTCGGAAGTAAAATTTATTTTGTTATCTTTTATGAAAAAATTTCTAAGTTTAAAAACTCTGAGAAACAATATAAATAGATTTTTAATAGGAGGTTGTTTACTGGTATGCAGACCTTCAGAAAAAATATTGAATTGACATATTAAGGTATTTGTCGCGTAAATTCGTTTTCGACAGAATTTTTTTAAATTTCACATAATTATTCTTTGGATATTTATCTACAAAATAAGGCCTATTAAAATAAAATTGACCGTCTGTAAGTCTCAAAAAATGAAATCAAAGTTTCGATTTTTAACATGTACGGTATAGGAAAACCAAATGAAAACCACAGATTTTTAATTTTTGCACTTATACTAATCGACAGATTTTTTAGAAAAACTAAAGTTTTATTTATAGAACCAAAATGAACTTTTATAAAAAAAATGAAAATTTTTCACCGTCTCGTTTAAAAGATATTTAACATCAAACTTGAAAAATTATTTTAACATTTACTGTAAATGACAGGTGAATTCGTAAACGTGGCAATAGCGCTTGTTAAATACTACAGCTTGTCTGCTACTTTTGGCGCGAAATTTTAAAGACGGCCATACGCCAAACTTGCGACGTTGCCACGATCGTTTTTCATGCGAGAGGTTATGAATATACATTGAAAACATCTGTGTCAAACTGTACGTCCGCAAAAGTTTTTCGGAAACTCGCATTCATAATCGTTTCATAAGTACAGTCAACGGATACAAACTTTTGAGAGTGACCAGTCGCGCGACAAATACCTTAAAGAATTTTTTAATCTTATTGTTCTTTGTACCTTCTGGAAGAATAAATATCAATTTTCAAGAAAAAAATTTTAAACTTACAAAAATTGATTATTTATAGTCATTTTGCATAAGATCAAAATTTTCTTCATATTAAGGTCATGTTATTCAGTGGTCACGTGTTCCCATAGTGAAGTATATGGAGCACGTGACCACTGAATAACATGACCTTAAAAGGTTAAACTTTTTAAAAACTGATTCGATTTAAGTCAATGATGGCTTATTTTCTTCAGAAAATGATTCTCTATAATATCTATAACTTGACCGCTCAGATTTATAAACAAATACAGCGTTTCTAAAATATGCTTATTTGTTTAAAAAAAGTTCTTGCTACTCTGTTTAGAGGAGTGGAGAAAAGTTTTACTTTCGCCACGTTTTTTTTACTCTTTTCAGAGCAAGCGTTTGAGAAAATTTTTTTCAATTGATTTTTTACCTAATACATATCTGACTTTAGAAGATCATGACTCTGAAACTTGTAGAGCTAAAGCACTTTTTTCTATTTTTTAGCAAATTTGATACTTCTTTAGTTTTTTATAGATATTTTTGTGCTTGTATGAACTGGGAGGGAGTAATATTAAAAAATCTAATCTTTATGCCGATTTTTCAGTTTTTCATTTAATTTATTTATTTATTTATTTATTTAATAACATAACGGGACATGCCCTTTCGTACATTACGTACTTCCTAATTCTAAGAGTTACATTTGTAACATATAAAAACAGATACAATATGAAGGTTGGCGCTTCAAAAGTTTAAGTTCGGTATAGATGTAAACATCGTTGTAGTGTAATAATGAAAATAAAGTAATATAATTAGACATTTTTGGTTTTTCACTGAGTCCATTAGAAAGTTAGTTATTGTGGTGAATCTTAGTTTAATAGAAGAATATCAAAATAATAATAATAAATGACAAATTTGTATCTCTATCAAAATTAATTTTAAACAATTAATAAAAATTTTATGAAAAATAACATTAAAAATTCTGAATGAAATAAGATGTTTAAAACGGTCTAAAAAAAAAAACTTTTTTGCCTAACAAAATATCATTTTAAGAAATAAATCACAATACTCTAAAGGAGTTTAACTCAAAAAAATGATTTCGATATGGTTTATTACTGCAATGATTTCAACACAAAATACTTGCTTTCTAAAGCTTTTCTAAATGACCAGAATCGATATGGCTGCGCGTTGTTGGGCTGTATATTGTTTATAACAATTAAAATAAATCATTTTATGCTATATTTATTATCTGGTGGTCATATTGGATAAATTTAAATTGATTTAGATCATATGCAGCAACGGAATAAGAAAATAAACGTTCTTTTTTAAAAAAGTGTATTAATTGATTTGTTAACTTTGATTAAAAAAAAATTATAAACAATTAAAATCTGAAAAATCGTCCTCGCTGGATGTCTTAAGAATTTATTTCCCTTTAATAAATTTGAGAACACTCAAATCGGTTAAATATTGTAAGCTGTAGACAATTTTAACAGTAAATTGTAAAAAAATTCCAATGTGGGCCAGAGCACTGCAGAAGTAAATGCTTAATTTGACCAGTTAAAAGTCCTTGTCCCACGTTTTGACCTATACATTTTTTTTAGGAAGAAACCTTACCTTGATGAAAAAGTTTTTTTAAATAAAAATGTCCAATTGATAAAAAAATAAAATTTTATTTTTAAATTTGATTTTTTAAGGTTAAATTTTTTTTCTTAAATTTGTTTACACCATCAGAAAATGAATAAAAACATTTAAAAAACCCAAAATAGAAAATATTTTTTCGTTTTTGTTTTAAAGAAACTAACAAGTTTTTAAAATATTCCGTGTAAATTTGGACCCAGATCACTTGGCGTGGAATTCCACTAATGAAGATTTGAGCGTAACATGTTTATATTAAGAGTTGATCTCCTTTGTGTATTTTTATTTCCAAAAATAATTAACATAACCTAAAATTTTTCCTTTCTTGGGTTCTTTCTTCAGAGTGCGCTTTTAAAAGCTAGTTTTTGATATTTTCAATTAAATAATAACTTATTTAAGACGTTACATGGCCCTGCTGGAAGTAAAGAGATAGAAACCTTTTCTCTTTTAATCCCTTTCTATTGCTAAGATAGAAAGAGATATGAATATTGTATAACTTTTAATCTCTTACCTATACTTCTTTATGGCTTTCTATTCCTACCTTTATCAACTTGCTCGGATATCTCTTTTAATCACCTTTTTTGAATAACTTTTAATAGCCATTTTAAACCCTTCTATCTCTTTTTATATACAATCTTATTACAATTCTTCGTTATCCCTTTCAATCACCTTTTCTCTACTACTTTTAAAATCCTGTCTATTTCCTTGTATCTCTTTTAATGTACGACCTTATAAACAATATTCTTTATACCTATTAATGACCTATTCTCAATATCTTTTAATAACCTGTCTATTTCCTTGTATCTCTTTTAATGTACGACTTTATAAACATTATTCTTTATACCTATTAATAACCTATTCTCAATACCTTTTAATAACCTGTCTATTTCCTTGTATCTCTTTTAATGTACGACTTTATAAACTTTTTTTAATTATTCTTTATACCTATTAATAACCTATTGTCAATACCTTTTAATAACCTGTCTATTTTCTTGTATCTCTTTTAATGCACGACTTTATAAACATTATTCTTTATACCTATTAATAACCTATTCTTAATACCTTTTAATAACCTGTCTATTTCCTTGTATCTCTTTTAATGTACGACTTTATAAACTTTTTTTAATTATTCTTTATACCTATTAATAACCTATTGTCAATACCTTTTAATAACCTGTCTATTTCCTTGTATCTCTTTTAATGTACGACTTTATAAACATTATTCTTTATACCTATTAATAACCTATTGTCAATACCTTTTAATAACCTGTCTATTTCCTTGTATCTCTTTTAATGTACGACTTTATAAACATTATTCTTTATACCTATTAATGACCTATTCTCAATATCTTTTAATAACCTGTCTATTTCCTTGTATCTCTTTTAATGTACGACTTTATAAACATTATTCTTTATACCTATTAATAACCTATTCTCAATACCTTTTAATAACCTGTCTATTTCCTTGTATCTCTTTTAATGTACGACTTTATAAACTTTTTTTAATTATTCTTTATACCTATTAATAACCTATTGTCAATACCTTTTAATAACCTGTCTATTTTCTTGTATCTCTTTTAATGCACGACTTTATAAACATTATTCTTTATACCTATTAATA